TCATATTCAATGACAACCATTTCTCAGACTTATCATATTATTTACTCTTTTCAACTAGCACAATACATGTGATCCAAAATATGATTTTCAAATGAAACAAGTGCACTTAAAACATAACACAAAAATTTTCAAAATCTCTTTTCAAAACATATAGTTTAAATTCTCAAAATCCATTGCATTCTCCATGATATGCATGATTTATAGATAGTCTGGTTTGCCTAGTCAACATGCAATTTCTACAACGATCATAGCTATCCTCCATCGATAGCCCAAAATAAATTTATCTAAATCGATACATAAATTCCTTTACAGATATGTTTGTTTTTTTTTTTTTTTCAAAATCTCAAATGAGAGTGATAATACATACCAAGCTCCACCATTATCATTAATAATCCTTCGATTTCACATTTACAATGACAATTTTAATTATTTATACAAAATAACAATTTGATCCAATTGGGGCAAAACTCCCCTTTATCCAACTATCAACCCAAACTCAACACAACCCAACACAACTCAACTTGGTTCAAGAGAATTCAACATAGTCAAACCAATTCAACATAATCAACACTATTCAACATGCTTCAATTTAACACCACTAAATGTAATTCAACATAATTCAAGGTGAACTTTTAAATCCCCATTTCATCTTTTCATCCCAAGTCTCATGCCATCCATATCATTATCGAATCTTTTTCCCCAAATTTCATTTCATATTATAGCATTATTTACAATATCCATAACAAAGGTTCATTTGCTAATTTTAACATAATTTTCAAACACTTCCAAAATCCAATTAAATTTGTATATATATATATAATTCAATACCTCAATTTCATGATTCTGCTTTCAATTTGGGCAAAATCATTATTTATCATCATGGATCAATTTAGGGTTTCAAAAAAATCAAGAATTTCAATAAAATTTCAAACTTCTCAAGCCATTACTTTTTATTCCAATTTTCCCATTGATTTCATACCTAAGGTTCATAATCCATCATCTTAACCCAACAATTGAACCCCCAACATCTCAAACCCTAAACCCCCAAATCTCATGATTTACTCTATATGCTCAAAAATGGAGATTTTGCATTTATATAATGAAAATACCACAAATCTATTTATTAAAGTAAGTATTGAAGAGAAATAGAACCTCTACCTCAAGAATCAAGCAAAAGAACGAAGCTCCAAGAAGAAACCTTCGCCAATCCGAAATCCAATCGGTTGAAAAGTGAGTTCTTCAAGCCTTCTTCACTTTTTGGTGGAAGATCTTGATCAATCCAAAGGGAAATGAAAGGCATTTGAGGTCAAAGACCTAGGGTTTTCGGACCTAGGTGAGAGGAATGAAGAGAGGAGATGAAAAGTGTAAAGAATGATCTAGAAAAGTCCCTTTAAACTTGCTGAATTCGCGTGGTCCACTTGAGCGTCTCTTTTCCCATTCAAGCGTACCTGCTTCCAGCACAGATTCCAAAACTTCAAACATATATAACTCTCTCATCCGGACTCCGTTTTAGGTCGTTCTTGTGTCCAAATCGAAGCCCCAAAGACAATATTTCCAATGGTTCTAGCCTCACACCTAAATTCAAAGTGTGGAAAAGAAAAGGGCAAAAGAGTGACGACTGTTCGTAGGAAGATTATTTGAATTAAAGTTTTTTGTCCAATCTTACTTTACCATCACGTTATCACTTCAATCAATGAACCAAAATAAAATATGGAGGCTCCAAACATAATAATAAAAGGTCAAAAACAATCCCACTAGCCTCAAAAATTCAAACTCAACTAGGCAGACCGCTAATCTTGTGCTTGAGCGCGCAGACCAACAAAGCTGGCCGCTCGAGCGAACACTCCTACGCTTGAGCGGAAATTCACAACTCTCAAAATTTCGGATAGACTGCAAAAGTACTGGAAGCCTCACAAGTCCGCTCGAGGGTAAACTCCTCCGCTCGTGCAGAGGGAAAAAAATTCTGGTTTGCTACAACTTGAATTTGGTTAAAATTTATTTTTGACTTCTCATCTACAAAAACTAACAATAAACATAAATTAATTTTTTGAACATTGTAAAAAGGTAAATAAAGAAATATATTATCAATAATAATAATAACAAAACATATTTTTATTTATCATGTGACGTTTCACCACTGCGTTGATAATAGATATTAATACTAAAATTCATTACGATAATACAACAATAATATATCAAATGATAAGTAACATGTGATCACAATAATTTTTGATAGTTATATACAAAAGTACCCAAAATTATATATAAAAAATAATATATGATCTGTATTCAATTTTTATATAGTAAAATTCACACTTAATCTCAACTACATATTAGTTTTTTAAATCAATTCATCACCCAAACTATCTACTATTCTTTTAATATTCACCTTTTCAAAATCCAGCCAAACAATGCTCTGGCCGAACACATCATCACCCTTATTGTTGCCATGCTCATCACCTCCACTAACCATTATGCAACTCCGATCTAGTTTTTTTTATCTTTGTAAATATAAAAAGACAATGTTGTGGAAATAATAAAAATGTATTGTTAGAGTTTTAAAGAGTTAAAAATGAAAAATAAAAAAATGCATGATTTTAGATTTTCTTATTTTATATATGGGTGTTAATTTTTTTTTTTTAAAATCCATAAATTATTGAATAGTATTCATTATTTAAAATTTTATTTATTGATGGGTAAGTCAATTAAATGTTTTTAATTTTTTATAAATAATAAATTTGATTTTTTTTAAAGAAATTTAAAAAAAAGCCAAATCATAAAGAACAATATAAGATGCCTTATTCTTAAAAGAAAAAAAAAAATTCATAACTATATTATCAATTCACATATATCAAAAGAGATAATATCAACAATATAAAAAATACACAAGCATCCACCAAAAAAAAAAAAAAAAAAATTCAAAACAAAGATAGTTAACAGATATATATTTATTATCAATTTAGTTGAAAAAAATACATTGGAAAAAAAAGTCATATAGAGGGGGAAAAAAAAAAAAAAAACACTCACACGAAAATATAAACTTACAAAAAAAAAATCACAAAAAATAAACTTGAAATAAGTTTGGACTATTGGCAAAGAGAGAGAATAACCATTACATCATTATATTTGGGGAAGAGTTGGTCGGGCTGAAAAAAAAATCAAATATTGAATATTTTAAAGAGAGAATTATATTGAATTTTTAATTTGATTGAGTTTTTAAAATTTTAAAATTATATTATTTTCAAAAAAGGTGAGAGTGGGATGAAAGTAACTTATCATATTATTTTGAATTTTGAAATTCAAAATTGTAGATAATTAGTGTCTTTTTTTTTTTTTTGAATTGTTTTGATCAATATTATTTTTGAAAAGAGTGAGGGTGATTTATCGTATTGTTTTGAATTTTAAAATTCAAAATTGTAGATAATTATAACTTTTTTTGTTTTTGGATTTTTGACTTAAGGAACTAACCAATAGATTTTTTTTTTATTTCTTTAAAAATTAACAAAATTAGTTTGGAAGTTTGGAACTTCCACAGTCATTGTTATTTAAAAGACAATTTTCTTATTTTGGCAACATAGTTTTTAGCCTTTTTTTTTGGTTAGTAGCAAAAGCCAAAAGTTGGCTTTTTTAGCTTTCTTTTCATTTGGAAAGTTGGTTTTTAGCCAACGGTGAAATTACAATTTTACCCATTATGGGTCAAAATGTATTACATAGGTGAAGTTGTAAATATTTTAAATAAATGGGGGTAGTTTGGTCATTTTATTATGATTTGACATCATAAACAAATATTAATCAAAAAAGTCAAAAGTCACTTTTTACCAACTTCCTAAATCATTTGTCTAAAAAAAGCCAAAAGCTTAGTTAAAAGCCAAAAAGTCACTTTTTACCATCTTCCCAAAACAATCCAAAAGAATAATTAGAAATAAATTATTTTGATATAGAGTTAGGTGGTGTTCGACAAAATTGAAAATTGAAGATTGAAAATTAAGTATTGAAAACTAAATGCTGAATTTTTTAAGTTGAAAAGTTATTTGATAAAAATTTAAGTGTTGAACTAAAAATAAATTATTTCATATGTGTAAGATCAAATTTGAAATTTATATTTTTAAATTGTATATTTTAATTTTTAAATTGTGGTGGTAGTAGTAGTGGTAGTGGTGACGGTGGTGGTGATAGAGATAGTGGCAGCAATAGTAATAACAATAATGGTGGTACTTATGACAACAATGACAATGGTGATAAGTGTGGTGGTGGTGGTGATGGTGGTAGCGGTAGTTATGGTCGTGGCTGTGGTGGTGGTAATGGTGGTAGTAATGAGTTTATAATAGTGTATATCGATATTTATGCTTAATATCAAGTTTGGGAAGACCAAATAAGTGCACTTTTTGATTTTTTTTGTATTATGTGTAGAAAAAGTAGAGAGGAGATATTGATTGATGTGACCCAAAAAAGATAAAAAGATGAAATAAGTGCACTTTTTTAGGTTAGCCAAACTTGTTTAGTCAGAATTAAGTTTTATAATAATCTAATTTTTTTTTTTAATTTAACTTACATTTTAAGAAATATTTAAATTTTTAAACGATATCAATTATGATTGTCAAACGAGTTTAATTCGTTTGGCAATTCAGGTTGAAACTTAAAAAGGCATAAAAGACAAAATCGATTCAATAAGTCAATAAAATAAAATATCACATTTAAATAATAATTATTTAACTATTTCTTTTACAAAAATAAAAAAATTTTTACCAAACAATTTTTTTAATTTCCAAGTTAAAAAATCCCAATTCCAAAAAGCAGATTAACAAAATTTTTGCCAAAAGGATAGCTTAATACATACAATTTTAAATACTGAGTTATATTATCAACCATCCCCATAGACTTTAACTCATTTGTCTGTGTGTTGTTATTGGACAACTAGGCATCACTCGGTACATGCCTAACCGGACCAAACCACCATTCTGGTTGCTAAACTAAATTCCCAACTGTCACCAACGAGTCGTTAAACAACTTTCTCGAGAAACAAACCACTCAAAAAAAAAAAAAACCCGAATCTCCCCCTCTCTTTCTCTCTCTAGAAAAAAAACTCTACATTGTATCTATCGCCGTTACAAATTTGTCTCTCACTTTCTCTCTCCTCCTTCGAATTCCTCACTGCATTTCTTCGATCTCACCGCCTAATTCCTCCTACAAAATAGCAATTTCTCAGACCTCTCTCTCGGCTCAGACTCTTCCCCAAATCTGAGCTTTTATTGCTTCGATTGTGATCGGGAATTGTTCGACAATGGCATCTTTCTCTGTTCCTTGCCCTAAATCTTCTGCCCTATTCACTGCTTCTTCTTCTTCTTCGCAGCAGCAACCAAACCCAAAGCAAACCCAACACTGTTTGGTTTCGTTCCCATCGAGCTCGTCGGCGTTGTTAGCTGGATCGTCCCTCAGACTCCAGGTTAATTCATCATCGTTTGTGGGTTTTTATTGAATTTGCTCTCAATTGATCATAAATCTTTTTTATTTTTCGATTTTTGGTAGCTTTTGGAATAGTTTCGCTGATTGAATACTAATATTTTTGGATTAATTTACAAAGATTTCAATTTAGAATGATGGTAGTTGCATTTTTTGGAATTGAAAATGTGCATTGACGAGGATGCTTTGGCCAAATCTTCCTATTTCTTATTATGTTAAAAATGGTGAACAATTACAGTAGAGGTGAAAATTATCACAAATGTTTTATTTATTTTTATTGTTGTCTCTTTCTCATTGTTTATAATCCAAATTATCTATACTTGCAAACTTTCCAGCCAATTCCTTATCCTTATGCCCCCTTGACCAGTCATGTTACATTGTTTGATTCTAATATTATTGCATTTTGTTTTATATTTCTTTGGCAGGGGACTAGGGACAATCAATCTAATGTTTCCAAGGTGTTTGCCCAGCTTAATGAGGTAAGCTGCACATTCTTATAGAATGTTTACACTTCCTTTTGTTATAATGATGTTCCCTTTATGCTCTATCTAAAACCTACTCTACACATCCTAGGTTGCCCTCAAATCTTCAAATTGTGCACCAGTTCCATCTACAAAGCCCGTGGAACCTGCAAAAGAATCTCCTGCTCAAAATACTGTTCCAGATGCATCATCCATCTCAGCATTTATGACCCAAGTGGCAGACCTTGTTGAGTGCGTTAAAAACCCCATTTTTCTGCTCACAGATGCTTCTTTATGTTGAGGAATATATGTTAATAGATGCTTAAAATTCCTCCTCATTGTTCTTTGTCAGGCTTGTAGATTCAAGAGACATCATGGAGCTACACCTTAAGCAACTGGATTGTGAAGTCATTATAAGAAAAAAGGAAGCTTTGCAACAACCTCCTGTAGTTATGATGCAGCCTGCTTCTCCCCAAACTATGGCGCCATATCAACCACCTCCAGCGCAGGTCAATGCTCCTGCTGGTCCTGTTCCTTCAGCTCCAGCTTCAGCACCAGCACTACCTAGCCCTGCAAAGCCAAAATCATCCCATCCTCCTTTGAAATGCCCAATGGCTGGAACTTTTTATCGTTCTCCAGCACCAGGAACTCCCCCTTTTATCAAGGTAAATTTCTTAATTGATTTCAGTTGTGTGCGTAGCTGCATTTGTGCATGCAGCTGTGCTCATGCTTGTGTTTTTGGAGAGTGTGTGTGCACGTTTAAGAGAGAAACTAATTCTAATTCTAATTCTAATTCTTATTCTTGAAAACTTATTTCATTGTTAAATTACACTTACTTTCATTGTTTTTCTGAAGCAATTTTATCTAGTAATTTTTTTAGTGTTTGCATGTTTTATTGTTATCTTTGTAGTTAGAAAACTTCAAAGATCCCTAAAAACATTACCCCTAAATTCACCCTAATGATGTGGCAGGGAGTTGGGTCTTAGGTGATTGATTTTTAAATCAATATATAATTGACATGGAGTAGTCTACGTCATGTAAATTTAGGGGTCTCAAGCTTTTCCCTAATAGTTAATACTGATAATCGCTTGCCTTCTTTTTCCTCCAAAATTAATATTAGTTTGAATAATTTAAGAAAGAACCCCCTTCCTACTCTCTTTCTCATATGTAATTATTACATATTGAAATATCCATGGTATGCTACAATCTGCTTATTCCACACATTACTTTTGTTTCTATTGAACTTCTTCTTTCATTTTCAAATTTTTTTTTTCTCTTTTTTCTCTTACCTCTGAATTAATATAATATGTTTCTCTTGAGTTCTAAAAATTCATATCAATTATGGTGGCAAACAATTCAGTTAACCAGTTTAATAAGCAAAAATAACTTAAAATAAGTTGGAAAAAGGTGATTATCCTGCCTTTTGGTTTTTTATTATCAACTTTCAGCTTATAAAAAGCTGCACCAAACAGGCCCTATATTGTGGAATGTGGCAATAGCCACACAGTAGCACTATGACCATGTCCTAGTTTTTCTATTGATATTTTCAAAATGAAGTACAAGTCATCTTTTACCTTATCTCTGGCTATGATTGTGGTTCTCCAGGTAGGAGATAAGATCCAGAAAGGCCAGGTAGTTTGCATCATTGAGGCCATGAAACTGATGAATGAGATCGAAGTAAGTGTCTGCTTTAATTATCATTTTTTACGATTCTTAGTTTCAGTCTTATATACTAGTTGGTTAATGTTCCACATGCAAAATAGATAAAATCTTGGGAGTTCTAGTTTTCTGGTTTGGAATTGTTACTTCATGTGTGAGATTCTTGGCAACCTAACTAAAAAATCTAAAAAATCCTAAGATATTGATTTGTAATTATGATTCGATTTTAAACAATGAATAGCAATTTGAATCAAACAATCAACAATAAATTGACACAACGATTTAATGTGAAAAAAATCATAATTGCACACCTTCAATTGTGATAAAAAAAATAACGGGCCAAAATCACAAAACAATCCACTAAGAAGACAAAAAGAAATTATACACGAGAACCCTCAATTACCTAATGAATCCACACTCGAATTAAACCGAACTCAATGTGTCTCTTCCACCACCATCTTTACCTCGGAATTGCTTTATCCAATGTTGAATCCACAACGCCAATGTCGAATCCACGATGATGAGTCACTCCAGAATCTATCAAAGCTTCAGATCCAAGTTTTCCAGAATCCACTGATGAACACCTTTCTTGTTTTGTGAAACAACCCTTAATGTTTATCAATAAGTTGTTCGTTGATCAATCGATCACCTTTTATACATTAAAGAAACTCATATATAAATATCCTCCAATTTGGAACACTTTGTTTTTACTCCTCTCTAAGAATCTGAACGGGTTAAACTCTAAAACGTGCAAACAGTGCATTTTATACAAAACAAAGCCCCGAAAACTGCTCGATCCTCGTGCTTAGTCAGCAAAGTGGCAAATAAGGAATGCTCAAGTTAAGATATGGAATGTCAGCACAAACTCCTTTACACAGGTACAACTCGGGTTAGATTCGCATCTAAACTCTCATAACTCACAAATACAATATAGCGAATGAAATACAACTAAATGGAGTTTTGTCCAACAGGATTGCCAATTACAAAAACCTAACAATCTCCCCATTCGATTGCCAATTACAAAAACCTAACACTAACTATTAGCATGGAAGATTCTTAGGAAACTAGGAAGCTCCAATAGGTTAGCCCACTTTTTTGTGAGGTCAGAAATCTTAAATGTCATTGTAGAGATAGAACATCCGTCTTTTGGATTTTGAAATCTTATATAAATGAGAGAGAAAAAAAGGTAAAGCTACTGACAACTTTGAGTTGGTATTGATTGGCTAAAAAGACCCATTTTGCTATATATATATATATATGTATATAAAAGCCTTAGCTAGTTTGGCAAACTCATTTCCCGCCAAACAAGACACTTTAGCTACTCTAAAAAAACCATTATAATAAGTCAAAAAGTTAGGAATGTGCTAAACAAACTAGCCTTTTTAGCCTTAACTTTTTCGTAGACTTGGGTTTTTAAGCTAACTTCCAAAAGAAGTGTGAAAGCTTGGTCTTAGATTCTGCATATTAGTTGAATCATTTTTAGCTCACCAAAATTTTAGCCCCCTCAGCGATTTCACACAAAATTTGCAAAGAAACATGCAATTTAATTCATGATATATATATTGTAAGAAGCTAGGACAATTCTAAAAAGGTGGCATGTCTGTGTCATTGTCGGATACCGACACTCGTTGGACACTTTTGCAACACATGCCCGACACTCATCCAAACATATCTTATTTTTTAAAAGAAAATTTGGACTCAGATACTCTTTAGACAATTAGAGGACACACATGTTCATTGCTTAAGCACATGTATCCATTGATTAAACACATATGAAACTAGTTAAGTTTGAACAAAATAACTTAGAATACGTTGATAAAAGAAAAATGATGTCTATTTATAGAAATTAATGTTATATTGTATTTATTTATTGTGTTAGAATGATAAATTCATATATATGACATAAAATAAATATATAAAATTATATATTTTATGCGTGTCCTCCATGTCGTGTCCAATATTTTAAAAAAATTGTCATGTCGTCGTGTCCGTGTCGTGTCACGTGTCTGTGTTCATTATTAAATAGATTGTCTTTTTGATGCTCTGTGTCAGGCTGATCAATCAGGAACTGTGGTTGAGATAATTGCAGAAGATGGTAAACCAGTTAGTGTGGACACAGTATGTATCTCTCTTTTCTTGGAAAATTTTAATTTATTTTCTTTTCTTAAATCATTGAATACAGAGTCTATGGTTTTCTAAAATATTTCATTCCTTTTTGCAGCCCTTATTTGTCATTGAGCCTTGAAGAATTAAGCTACTTCTTCAGTTATTGGATCATGTATGAGAAAGCATATGATGAGCTTGAGCTGAGTTCATTTGTGTTCTTAGATTGTAATGTCTTCAAAGCTTAGTTCATTTGTGTTCTTAGATTTGTAATGTCTCACCTTTGTTACTTGGATTCATAAATTTTGAAACAATAGAATTATTTACATAGTGCTTTCTCTCTCTCATAGAGGAAGGTATTTCATTTTCTGTATGATTATAAGAGAATAATCATTCTGTACTGAAGCAAATGAATGACTATTTCATTATATTATATTTCATTTTACTGAACTAAACACTACATTAGCATATGTTTAGTAATATTTATTATTATTTTTTTGATTGTTTGTCTTTAATTCTTTTTATTTATTGTAAACGAATATCAAATTTAACAAATATTTCATCTCTTAAAAATGTAAATAATCTCCTGAATTTATAATAAGTTTAGGGCTCTTTTTCTTTTTCTTTTCATTATTTTGAATATAAATTTTGAGGCCGGTCTCAAAAATTCCTTTTGATCACCTTCTCTCGCTAGCCAGCCCCACTCTCCGGCCATTACTTCCAAACCTAGTGATGGAGCCATGATTCTATTATTAGAGAGTCAAACGTATTAAAATTGACTTTTGAAAATTCCTTGTTCTGATTTCACACAGAAATTGAAAATTGGTAATTCAAACCCTATCAGTATCAATAAACACACCTGAAATGCAAATTTTGTGAATTACATCACAATTTCAGCATGATTTGCACACAAAAGTGTCAATTTCACATAATAAACTCTATTATTCATAAATTATATCATAACAAACAACTGATCATCGAACTATGCATTTTGGAAAAGGTTCCCCCTTGGGACAGATTGGCAATTTTATCAGATGTTCGTTGGTTGGCACGAAATAGGCGTTGAGACTTTGTGTGGACAAGGAGAGTCAACAACAAAGTAGCTCACTGGGTAGCTAATGCTCTTGCTAAGCAAAATCTTCCTGTGACTTGGGTTAGTTGTTCCCCTTTTGCTCTAGCTGCTTTACTTTCTCTTGATGTATCTGAAGCTCTTTCTTGAGTTTTTAAAATTTTCTAAGGGGCTACTATTTTGGAATGGGGAGGCTCTAAATGTACCCTAAAAATTTGGTTGGGCACCCCATTACTCTGAACATCTTAACCTTAATTTTGAATTTTGAATTTTTTATTTATTGAACACTCCAAAACACTTAATTAATCCCACTTTTACCCTTTACACCCAACTGTTGTTGCAATCGTTGCCACCGCCGAAGCCTCCTTTGTCACCGCTTTTTCCTTCAGACACTCACCACCCCTTCTTAACCATCTGTCACCCCCTTTCCTTCTTTCACAGCCATTTGCCACCCCTACTTCATCTTCTCCTTCTTCTTTCGAAACCGAAAAGAAAGAGAGAGAACAAGAAGAAGGGGCACTTTTACCCCTTTCACCCAATTGTCGTTGGGATCATTGTCACTGCCAGAGCATTCTTTGTCATCACTTTTGCTTCTAGATGCCCGCTACCCCTTCTCAGCCATCCATTAACCCCTTCTCTTCCTTCATCGCCATTTACCGCTCACACTTCATTTTCAGTTTCTTCTTATCCTTCTCCTTTCAAAATCGGAGAGAAAATGGTTTAGGGTTTTGGCCATTTTGATCATTTTATTAGGGGACAAAATTGTAATAAAAAAAATTAGAAAAATAGGGTGCTCAACCAAAATATTGGGGAAATTCTATTTCCACACACCTAAATAACTCAGAACAAATCTTCTCTCAATACACACACCTGTTAATTTATTTATTGATTGTTTTTCTCAATCCACATACTAAAAATTACAATTATATCATTCACTCAAATATTATTGTACACACGCTTACCTCTCCTTTTCACACACTTTTTGAAAACTTGAAGACCAAAAAACTTCCACCCACATGAAGCTTGAACACTAGTCTGAAGACCACATTCTTGAGCTACTCGTGAACTTGAAGACCTCCATTGAAGTGAAAACCTTCTATGTCTGAAGTGAGTTCATTAAAGCCATCCATGGAAGACCTCCACGAAAACCTCCAAAATAGTGTTGAAGGTAAAGAATCTTCCCATTTTGTTTTTATATTTATCATTTTGTTATTACATTTTATCATTTTCAGATCTTTATACACTCCATTGTCATAAAATCCTTGATTTTTCCATCATGTTCATGGGTTGGGATGTCGTCACTAGTTTGCCGAATTTGTGCACCAAATTCGGAAATCAACAACCGAATAAACTGTTATAGATCGACTGAATAGAGCTGAAAATAGTTACAATATTCGACAGTTACATTCCGAATGAAGCAAGTTATTTCAATTTTGGAGTTTTGAAACTTTTTATTATTTTCGATAGTTATATTCCGAATTTATTAGATATTTTTGGTTATGTAGTTTCAAACATTTTGTGTTCTTTCGGCTCTGAAATTTTGAATTTTTTTTTAATATTTTAATTACATTGATTGATGACATGGCTATCTCTACAATAACAAATTCATTTAGGCTCTATTTGGATCATGATTTTAGTAAGGATTCATCACTTTTTTATTCCTTTTTCTATTTCCTACACAAATCCTTCATTCAAACTTAGCCTTACAATTATTTGATTGTGTCTCGAGATTCTTGTACTTTGAAATTTCAATAACTATATAAGTGCATTAAGATAGAAGATTGAGAATTTTTGAGACGAAGATTCATTGACTGTTTTTTTCTTTTTTCTTTTTAGATTGGAGATTCCTTGACTGTTAACAGGTGATTTTTTGGATAAATGATCCCTCAATATTGATGGGTGCCTAAGTGCACTAGTTAACACTTAATTAAATTGGATAAATACATTATTGCATAAAAGTGAATAAGTAAGGAATGTATAACCTTAATGCTTTTGAAACACTTGTTAGTTAACAACCAAGTCAATAGAATCATAGATGAGTCTAGTTTAGTTTTACCATGAACTTGAAGGAGAGAGAATTGGAGCTCTTGGTTGAACACTGCTGTAGATAGCAAAGTCCCTACATGCATTAATCCATGATTTTGAACAATTGCAAGGACCTCAAAAGTTATGTACTCCAAAAAAAAAAAAAAAAAAAAATAAATCTTTCAAATATGTAAATTCAAACTCACAAAATGCATAGCGATGATCAGGTGACCAAGAATATAGTACTTACATCTTTGAACATAGTTTTCTAGTTTGTATTTTCTTAAATACAAATATCATTTTTAGGTTTATTTATTTATCAAAAGAATGAATTGATGGATTGATGAGAACAATTTTCTGCATGCAGATGGATGTCGATCTCAGTTAATGTTGGTCAGTAATAGTTTCGAACAGAAGCCTTTGTGAATTAGAGAATGCTGGACGTGGACGTGGACATGCTATGGATGATGATCCTATACATGATATACCAGTTATGAATGATATTGCTATAGATGATGACCCTAATGGTGATGATGCTGACATTGTTGATGAAGATATCCTTACTCAGTTATTTCTGGGAGGGCCAACTGATCCATCAATACTTAGAAGTTTTAAAAGTCATGTTGCCACAGCTATTTGGACTGGTGCTGATGAAAGGGGGCCGTTGAAGTGTCATAATCACTCGTCTAAGATTTGTTCGTGGCCATGGTGGGAACAAGGCAAAAACGCTACATTTGTAAACATTGTGGAGATGTCAGGACCTGCACACTCAGCTCGTTGCACGTACCGCTTTGTTAACAAAATTGTAGTGTCTAGTTTTGTTGAGAGATGGCAACCAGAGACAAACACATTCCATTTTACTATTGGAGAGATGACTATCACATTGGACGATGCTGCCACTATCCCAGGGCCTCCCATTGTAGGCAAATTTATTAGTGTGCGTAAATCATAAGAAATGTAGGCCATTGCATTAGCAGTTAATACCTTGGAAATTGAAAAGCAAGAGGTCAGACATGAGTTGTCTAGTGCTGGAGGCAATTCAGTGAGGCTTGAGTGGTTAAGGGCACACTTTCATAATGTCACAGACAATGATTCAATGGAAAGAATTGCATGTGCAGGTAGAGCATGCTTGTTATTTTTGTTGGGTTGTTGTAGACACCCCATTTTGACGGCCCTTCAAGACTTGGATGTTCTTGCAGGTACATCCGATGGCGAGTTTGGTTGCTTGTTGAGCGCTCAAAGTCCTTAGCGGAACGCCACAGTTTTGAGCCTTCCAAACCCTACATCCTTTTTGTCTCCTTTTTGGAACATGTCTTGGTCTCTCTTCCCTATAGCCTTTGGTGCCCTGCTGGCCATCTATGAGGGCTGTCGGCCAGGGTTTTTGGCCTGCCCACCATTGATGTGCCTTGCCGGCCATCAATGATGCCTTGCCGGCCATCAGTGATGGCTGGCAGGTCACCAGTGTTTTTTGCAGATATTTTGTGCCAGCTGTGCCAACTGGTTGCACAGAGGCTTGCATCTGCCCACTCGTGGAGGACTGGATCTCTTTGAATGGAATTCATATTTTCTATATATAGGGAAGCCCTCTCTCATGTTTTGAGGTTGGAAGAATTAAGACTCAAAATTATCTCTTTCTCTTGATTTCTCTCTCTCTAGATTTGTCTCTCTCTCTTTCTCTCTCTCTCTCTCTCTCTCTCTCTCTCTTGTATTTCTCTACACCTTTGCCTACTTATACTACACTTTTGCACATCAACCCTTAACCAAAAGTCATCACCTTTGAGCTGAGGTTGTTTAAGGACCTCTTGGAGCCCTACAAGTTGTTTTGGGCTTGAATTGTTGCTTGGAACCACTATTCTCTTCAAGAGGTACAATACTGGTCTTTTAAGCTTGCTTTGCTTACTTGTTTTTCCATCTCTTTCCTACTGTTATGGGCTAGTTTTGAGCTATAAAAAACTTCGTTTTCATGGGGTGAAATTGGTGTTTTGGGCCATCAAAGGTTAGAGGGTGGTTCATCCCTCTTTATCCCTTATTGTTAAGGCCTTTGCACTTTTGTTTCCCATTTTAAAACTACCTTTTTTTTGACCCTCTAACCACTGAATTTCAGAGGTTTTTCAGTGACAAGAAACCCATTTTGAAGTCCAAAATTGGAGGGGTTAGCTTCCCCTCCTTGTGTCTTGTTTGCTAGTCTAGTTAATTTCATATGTTAGCATATTTTTCTAGCTTAGTTTAGCTTGCTTCCAACATGTTTTTGCCTCTGAAATAGCCTGCTTTAGCTCTATTTTGGGCTGTTTGGGTCAGTTGAGTTTTGTTTTGCATGCTTGTAGTGCAATAGTCCTCACAAGTTTGGTGAT